GAGGGAGGGAAGAGGTGTGGAGGAGGGAAGGATTGGGGCTGGAGCAAGCTGCCCAGCCGGGGCAGGAGGTGCATTACTCAGGGAGGGGAGCAGCTGGGGCGTGGGATGCAGGAACGACTTGCTCTGGGTGGAAGGGGGCAAGCAGCATCAGGGCCTAGCCCCCACTCCCAGCACTGCCACACCAGCATTCCACACCCTTCCATGCCGGCTGGCAAGCGACAGCAGTGCTGATGCAGGCACGGCAGTGGGAGCTATGCTCTGCTGCCGCCTGGAGTGAGCTGTGCCTGCATAGCACACCTCCCTTCCCCCCACACTGGCTGGGCAAGCAGCAGCAGGGCATAGCCCCCGTGGCTCCCCTGGCTGAGGCAGAGGCAGACACAGCTGGAGGAGCCACGGGAGATGCTCCGTGGCTTCCCTGCCCAGCCCCATCCCCTGCCTGGCCCCAGCCTCCCAGCACTTTAAAAAAAAAGTCCCACACTCACCAGCTCTGACAGCAATGATTGGGACCCCTGGGCACTCGTGGCAGAGGCCCCCTGCACAGCACGAAGCAATGGCAGGCAGTGGGGATCACCCCACCCTTGCGTGGCACCCACGCAGCAGCTGCCACATGGCACAGGTGCAGCACAAGTCAGCAGGGCTCTGAACACTGTCTGGGAGCTAAGGCAGCTCCACTTGTCAGCCAGAGCCCAGCACTCCTCAGTCCCAGCGACCCCAGCTACCAGACAGTGTGCAGTGCCCTGCCAAGCCACACTGCTCGCATGTCATGGGACAGCTGCAGCGTGGGTGCCAGGCAGGAGAGGCAATCCCCACTGCCCCCTACTTCCCTGCATTGCATGGGGAGGCTCTGCCATGAGCCTCCAGAGGCCCTGATCCCTGGTGCCAGAACCAGTGAATGCAGGGCTTTTATTTTTATTTTTTTTAAATTACCAGGAGGCTGGGGCTGGATGAGGCAGCCATCAGGGGTGGAGCTGGGCAGGGGGTGCAAATCAGGCAGCGGAGGCTGGGGGAAAGGGGGCTGTGCCACATGACCTCAGGGCCTCTACAGCTGCTGCTACTGCCAGTGAGTGCAGGGTTTTATTGGGGGGGGGTGGCGGTTAATTCCTGGACTGCTGGAGCTTTCTTTTAGGAGGATGGC